AACATAATTATTCTATTCGAATTTTGAATTGATGCTGTCGTACACCTTCATAACTGACATTAAATAACTTTTTTTTTATTTTAAGTATTTATTACATAATACTGCTTTGCTCAAGGATACAACTCTTCCAAATGTAATAAAAAATTTTTTTTGTTGTGTATTTTCATATTATTCTTCGTTAAAAAATGAACTAAAAAAATTGAGGTATTTGTTGCGGTCAATTGTTTGAACCTTATTATTCTCTTTGAACAGTTTTTCATAAAATAAAGGCTTGTCTAACTGTCATCCTTAAGCTATTATGAACTATTTTCAAACTATAACTGGTTTCTTTATTTCACTTAATTTCCAATAAACTGTCATAAAATGATATTAACTTTTTTTTTTTTTTTTTATTTTAACTCGAAAATACAATCTGGTAGTAGGGTGCTGCCAAGCTCGAAATTCAGCTATCGACAAAATTACGCACGTACTAACTTAACAGTTTTTTACAANATTCATCTTAAAAAGTATTTTGATTTTAAAAAAACTATAAATTATAAATATAAAACAGTAAAGAACATGTATCATGTAAATGTTTTTTTATATAAAAATAATTGTTTACATGTAAACAGAGTGTTTATACACTACTTCAGTTACGCTTCATTTAGATAAAATATATTTTTAAGGAAAAATTAAAAATAATACAATATTCGTTAACTACTCAAGGCATTGTAATAAAATTTACATCCGACCGTACATGTAAGTCTTGCCACAGATATACTACATTGTTTCATTAACGTGATTACCGATTACCTGCATTATCAAAGAATTAAAAGGTAATACTGGTAACAACTTATGTATACGAATACGACCAGGGGTGTTTTCCGCAATCGTCACCTTAGCGGCGTTACCACCACGACCTACGTATATATATATATAACACAGATAACACAGAAAATTTAAACTTTTTATAATCTATCTACGAGATCAGTTGCGGCTGGTTTATAGTTGACAAAGTGTCTCTGCTGTAAAAAGTATATTTATTTAGATCAGCGCCATCTAGCGGTCTCAATTTTTTGGCCAAAAGTGGCTCCCAAAATTCTGAATCAGAGCAATCAGGATTAGAGCCATTTAGTCAATTATAAACCAGCCGCAACTCATGATAAAGCTATAAAATAAAAAAATAATAATACGTGTGTTTTTGGCGGCAAGATAACAATCTATTTTTTACCAAAAAATTAACCTCCTATGTGTTTATACTTTTTAAGATGAATTTTCGAGTAAAAGATAGATTGTTATCTTGCCGCCAAAAACACACGTATTATTATTTTTTCATTTTATACCTTCGTCATAAGTTGCGGCTGGTTTATAATTGATTAAATGGCTCTAATCGTGAATGCTCCGATTCAGAATTTTAGGAGCCACTTTTGGCCAAAAAATAAAGACCGCTAGATAGCGCTGATCCAAAATAATTATTGCTACTTACGGTTAAGTCACTTCATTAGTTATAAACCAGCCGCAACGAATCATATAGATAGATAATAAAAAGAAAACATTTTTTGTGCTACTTTCGGCAAGTTTACAATTTATCTTTTACCTTAAAATCGACCTCCAAAACCACCAACATTCTACTTATCTTATATGGCTCATAAAATCGACAATATTTACAAAATTTTAATACTCTAGACCTTTTACCATTAACTCATGTAAGCACAAATTAATCAGTCCAAAAGAGACAACCGAAGAAAAAAGGCCTGAAAAAGAAGCACAGTCACACGAAAAGTCTCATAAGAAGGCAGCATTGGATCTCACTTGATCAGAGGAGGTTGGGTTCTTTGTTTACTTATGACACTTAAAATTTACATCTCTGTAATAAATGTATTTTTCAATTAGTGAGATCCGATGTTCCATTCCTAGGAGACTCTTCGTGTGACTGCTTTTTTTAAAGACCTTTTTTCTTCAGTTGTCTCTTTTCGACTGATTAATTTACGTGTATATTTGATCGTGATTTACGATTTCTGTAACACAAATTTTGCTATGTACATATTATATAAGTTAACTGATTATTGGAAATCTAAAGTTGAAGGGCTCTTCTTTCATTAGTTAATGGTAAAAGGTCAAGAGTATTGTAATTTTATAAATATTGTCGATTTTATGAGCCATATAAGATAAGTAGAATGTTGGTGGTTTTGGAGGTCGATTTTAAGGTAAAAGATAAATTGTAAACTTGCCGAAAGTAGCACAAAAAATGTTTTCTTTTTATTATCTATCTATATGATTCGTTGCGGCTGGTTTATAACTAATGAAGTGACTTAACCGTAAGTAGCAATAATTATTTTGGATCAGCGCTATCTAGCGGTCTTTATTTTTTGGCCAAAAGTGGCTCCTAAAATTCTGAATCAGAGCATTCACGATTAGAGCCATTTAATCAATTATAAACCAGCCGCAACTTATGACGAAGGTATAAAATGAAAAAATAATAATACGTGTGTTTTTGGCGGCAAGATAACAATCTATCTTTTACTCGAAAATTCATCTTAAAAAGTATAAACACATAGGAGGTTAATTTTTTGGTAAAAATAGATTGTTATCTTGCCGCCAAAAACACACGTGTCATTATTTTTTTATTTTATAGCTTTATCATAAGTTGCGGCTGGTTTATAACTGACTAAATGGCTCTAATCGTGAATGCTCTGATTCAGAATTTTAGGAGCCACTTTTGGCCAAAAAATAAAGACCGCTAGATGGCGCTGATCTAAATAAATATACTTTTTACAGTAGAGACACTTTGTCAACATAAACCAGCCGCAACTGATCTCGTAGATAGATTATAAAAAGTTTAAATTTTCTGTGTTATCTGCGGCAAGTTTACAATCTATTTTTTATCCAAAAGTCGACCTCCAAAAATATAGATATTCATATGGTTTAATAAATAATAATCGACCGTATGGCATTACTTAGTAGTAATTACTTCAATTACTACACATAACTTCACGTACATCTTACACCGTGCTCTCTTTACCAGAATGATTAAATCAGAGGCTGTAAAGTTATAACTTTATATATATTTACTTTTCAAGAGTTAAAAGCTCAATCGATGTAATAATTGGTTAAACAATTTTTTGATGTCTAATAATAAAAGCCATTTTGAAGTAAACTACAATCGATCGAAGGAGTATTTTGCTTTAGACAAAAAAAAGAAATAAACCCGTCAAAGTTGATTTAATGGTCCTTTTGTAGATTTTAGTGTAGTAAAGACAGGTTCTTTAATTTACGTACAAAAATAAAATAAAACAAGCATACAAATGAGACTCTTTGGGTACAAAAATCATGATTGGATCTATTAATTTTTGCTGGATTCAGTCAATTTTGGATTTTTGGGTTTAATTTTACCTTATAGTTTTCAATTTCTTATCAGCCCCCAAAAAACATTTCAACGAAGGAGATGAGAAAACAAAAATACGTACCGATAACGATTTTTCAAAGTATTTTCTCAGTATTGCACGAAAATAACGAATTGAGTGCAGAAAAATAATTTATTTAATCGAGATCATATATATAATGGATAACTTTTTTGTATAATCATTGATGTAGTTATATGTAAACACGTTTACCTTATAATGGCCGGATTTCCGTGCTACTTATCATCCCATATTCCCGGCACGACCACAGCTCACAGAGATTCCCTGTATAATATACTTACTCATCCCTACACTATTTTAGTTGCAGTGTTTTTTTTCACCTTTTTCTTAGTGCCATAAAACAGAACGAAATTAGGGGCTGATAATAAACCCACAATGGCACGTTCACAGAATCACGAAGCATTAAAATTTGTTGTGAACCTTTGAAAAAAGAAAGAAAAATTGCCTTCCTGGATAAAATACGGTGTCTACATTTTTTTAATCAGTAATTCCCTAACATAAATGTATATAGCGACAGTTTTTTATACTTGGGTATGAATACCCAACTGTAAACCCCCATCAAAACTTCGATGCAATATATGTCACTTCTGTCCCATGAAAACTATAGAGTAACGAGCAAAAAAAAGAAAAGAAATCCATCATATTCTCAACTCGCCTTACACCAGACTCTATACATCTCTTCTATTTAACTTACCTACTCTGCTCAAACACGTATTCGTTACTCATCCTAATTTAACTCGTTCGTCCATCATCTACGTACACATTGTATTATTCTCGGCGTCCCAAATATCTCTTGTTTCACTTTGGAACGAATATCCCTTCCCTCCCGGTGCGATTTCACAGACCGAAACTTTGCTAGTTTCAACGGGAGGGCGACGCGACGAAAGGAGAAAGGACTTTATCTCTCGCATAAGCCGGCTTTCCGGGGGCGCGAATGTATATCCGCATTGTTTACCGAACTTCACAGTCAAGTCGGCGAATCTCGTTGGAAGATCCTCGGGAAGATCTTGCCTTGAAATCCGTAATATACGGGAGAGAGCTTTTAATTTTTCCCTTTTATTTGTAGAATTAAGTGAGAGACGGCGTTTTATTTCTTAACAAATGCATCATAAATTTTTGAAAAAGCTTTTATTTTACTTTTTTTAATTGTGCGTTAAAGTAATATAGTTGCATTTTTACTGGTTATTATTTGATTTTAATCCAATGTTGAATAAATATTAAATGAAAAGAAAAATGTGTTTATTGTATTACGCGAAAGGTATGTATATTTTGTTTTTACGTCATCAGGATACGTTTCAAGAGTCTATAAGGGGATGATGCACACGTGAGGAAAGAGTTTCGGGAGCTTTTATCCTTCCTTTCTCGCCAAGGTAAGAAAAAATTAAGTTTAGAGAGTGGATTAGAACAAGACTGGGGGAGGACTACAATAGTGGCTAGGTAGCATCTACACTGAAACACGTGAAAGAATCCACAAATAAAAAAATTAATTTAGACTGCTGTTTGAGTTTTTGAGAAATATAAACACGTATATTTTTATTTTTCGTAAATGTATATAACAAAGTTTTTTAATAGAAATGTTACACTTTATTCAAAATAATTTATTACAGTTGTTCGTTATTTTTTAAATTTCTTAGATGGTAGGACTCGAGGCTTTGTTGAAATTTTTCTTACATGTACGCGTCATAATTACCGGGAGGTGGAAAGTGGTCACCGTCTGGTGGATTCCGCCTGTTATGTGGAAAATCATCAGGTAGAGGGCCAAATGGATCAAATCGTGCACCAGGAGGAACAGACCCACTGTTGAAATATTTTTCGTGTGTTATACTTGTAAGCATTATTTTTTACTTGTTATGATTTTGTATTACCGTGGTAATCTGCCAGGTATTCCAATACCTGGAGATGGATGTATGTTAGGCCCTCTGGAAAATGGGTCAAACAGCATTCCTCCTCTTCCCTGTCTAAATGGATCCAAGTCATCTCGACCTATATCAAACGGATTTGCAGGTCCAAGAGGGTGCCTAAAAGTAATGTTGTTTCGTGAATAAGTGTAAAGAAAAAATTCGTTGTACTTGAATTTTTATCGTTAGTACTTGTATTTTTATGGATGGCATTATGTGGATAGCAAATTAAATTAAAAATCTAGAGTATCCAAGTCATTATCATAAGTATAAGTAGCTAGTTTCTCTAAGTAGTACCTATGACAAGAATTTTGAAAAGGTTCTGAAAGGATTCCAGAAGGATACCGAGGGAAGGTTTCAAAAGTTGGAGTAACGCCAAAACTCATGTCTCTCTAGGACATCGATATCATGAGACATCTGGAATAAAAGAAGGATTTTTAAAAATTATTACCCTGGCATTACTTGACCAATCGGTCTGTGTGGTGGCCCTACCCTAAGTGGGTCATCGTCTGGGTCCCTTCTGGGTCTGTTGGTCTGAGATTCGGAAGTTTGAGTAGAGACCTCGACTCCACTGCCAGTAGAGACAGGTTCTATAAGATTAATTTTCAAAGAATTCAGAACTTGCTCATAGTCTGGCACCAACACGGCCAGGGGCCCTTGAAGTGCTTTGACAGTATCGATTGGAAACTGTACATTAGAAACTGCATGACTCTCGACCTTCTGTAAATCGTACAGCCAAACTTACTAACATCTAGCTGTCAACAGTTGTGAGCAACTTGTTTGAAAATTGGAAAAAAAAAAAAAAAAAAAAACAATAATGTGGATCTCACCAGAAAATTGAAAATTAGGTCGTTATCAGATTTCACTGCCATCAGAATGTACAGTTTTGCCTCCTTGATGTAGCGAAGCGAATAATTTAGTTCTTGACTCCATCCCTCTGGTAACAGTTCCGATCCCTCTTCGGAAGGGCCAATGGTCTTCTAGAACATCACACATTTAAAGAATAAGCGTAATTACAGTAAGATACTTGTATACATCATGAAAAACAAGTTCTTAGCATGTTTTGATTTACAGTATACTGATATGAAACAACGCCTGCAATGTTGCAATTATTAGCTGGTGGTGAAGAGTTAGGTTTGGCCAAGTGACAGCAGTCAAACCAATTTCGTACACGCACAACTAACACAGAAATTTCAACTAAGTACACGTAATATGCAAATATAAAGTGAGTGATGGTGATTTGAATTTGGTTATTTATGGGTTAGGTATGTACTTACAGCATCTCCGGAGCCAAGGCACTTGAATCCATTCTTCACTAGGTGCCAGTGTACCAGAAGAACAAGCACGTCCTCTTTCTTGTTTATTTGACTAGCTGACAATTTGTGAATCAATTCAAAGCCGAAAGTATCTGTGGTGCTTGACGTCGACTCGGTTGCCATCTCTCCCTCTCTTTTCAGCTGTCACTGTTTTTACGTTGTTTTTTTTGCAATTTTTTTGTTTGCAGTCACTATTTTTTATCTATTTAGTTATTTTATTGATAACGTTTTTCTCTTAAGACGCAACAACAATAACGACGCAGTTAGATCATCATAATGGTGTTGTCATCATGACCAAACCAATAACCAAACAACTTGGTGTGTATTTTTTTTTGTCAACTTTAGGGTGCGCTCAAGTCACTGAAAAACGCAACTCGGTCCGGTCCGTTCGTTCCGTTTCGTTAGTAGTCACCAAATAACCGCGCGATTCAAAAAAAGCATTAAAACTTTATTACGTTAGATAAAATATTAATTTATTGATAAAATATTTATAAAAAATCAAGGAAGATGATTATACAGCTTATTACATAACTAGTAACGTATGACATATACATTAAAAAATACATTTTGAAATCATTCAGTTTTAAAACTTTGTTTCCATGATTTTTATAAATTTCAATTTCGTAATTAAACAATAATTTTATCAAAAAATTTTTAGTCTTGTAAAAGAAAGTCCGTAATTTTTATTACTCCGTAAAGAATACTAAACGGATAAACTATTGAAAAGTATGTACAAGTAATAATTGTTTTAGTTCTCATTTTTAAATTTATGGTTAATATTAGGTGCAAGAGAAAAATGGATTACTTTCTTTTCATGTGAATTTACAGAAGCCCTAACTTAAAATTTTTTTGCACAGTTGTACATCAGTTGGCACAATTATTTACTTACTAACTAAAATGGCGAGAGAGAGAGCAGAAAACAATGTGTACTTATTTCATAAAGTTCAGGTTCCGTACATTCCTTGATAAGTAACTCTCTTATCGAAAGTTTTAAAATTAATTGAAACTAGCAAACGGACGTTAGTCCGTTAGTGATGATGACAGTTAACAGTTAGTGGTGTAAAAACACGCAATCAAAGACAGAGGCGACGTATACTAGTGTGGCATCGTTTATTCGTAAAAAATATCTTTTACTTTTGTCACGTGTAAGTAATAATATTAAGAACGTAAGAAAAATATTCACCTCAACTACACCCAAGTAAATAAGCCCTAAATAAAGCCTCTGCACAAGTGCCAATTTGGACTCTAAATTTACTTAGGCCTAATTTACTTGGGTATAGTTGACGTGAATATTTTTCTTACATTCTCCACATTTTTACAGAGCTTTTGTCAAACATACATATATTTACGTATATTATTTACGTACAGTGGAATATCTTACAAGTCCACCGATAAACATGAATAAAAAAGAAAAAGAAAGGTATCTTCGAAAATTTATCTTTCCATTTTGTCATGATGCCTCAAAATACGAGAAAGTTGCTAAAATCGGCCAAGGAACTTATGGGTAAGCAAAGACACGTGTGCAGTTGACATTGTTTAAAATCTCTTTTTTCCTATTTTTAATATTGTGCATTGTAAATTTAACAGAGAAGTTTTTAAGGTACGTGATGGAACAAATCCAAAGAAATTTGTTGCGATGAAAAAAATTTTAATGAGTGACAACAGAGGAGGTGTAAGTTGCATTTGATTTTCTCATAAAATGTGTTACACAAATATTTCGACATTGACTACTTTTGCAGTTTCCCATCAATACCTTAAAAGAGATCAAGTTATTGCAACAATTGAAAAATAAAAATATCGTTAATTACATTGAAGTCTGTAAAGCGAAAGGTGAGAAACAACTTTATTTACTGACAATTGAAAATTCAAAGAAGTGAATGTCGTTGTTTCTTTCACAGCTACACAACGTGATCAACTGCTTCCAACATTTTATTTGGTAATGGATTTTTGTGAACATGACCTTGCAGGTCTCCTTTCAAATATGAATGTGCAATTCAGTTTAGGGGAGAAAAAAAACATCATGAAACAGTTGTTCAATGGACTGCATTTCATACATACCAACAATGTTTGTACTATAAATAGAATAAAAATTCTTGAGCACCTCAAAATAACACGGAACGTATAGCAAGTATTATAATTTCATCTAAATAATTGTTTTTGGTCATGTTAACAGTCCAAAGTTATTTTTAAGGTGCTCAGAAAATAGTTTTCAAACACTGACACAGCAATACCTATTTTAAATATTCTTCTTTTAGATCCTGCACAGAGACATTAAATCTGCAAATATTTTGATAACAAAATCTGGTGTGCTGAAATTGTCCGACTTTGGTCTAGCAAAATCATTCATCAGAAGCAATAATGACCTGAAAAAGTGTTACTCATCTGAAAAAGTCGTAACTCTTTGGTACAGACCACCAGAGTTACTGTTGGGTGCAAAGAACTATGGGCCACCAGTTGATTTGTGGGGTGCTGGCTGCATAATGGCTGAGATGTGGAATCGGTATTTATATTTTGAATATTAAATATCTTTGAAAGCACAAGTAAACAATATTCAATATTTCATATTATATTGCCTAACAATTACAGATTCCCGATAATGCCAGGAAGCACTGAACAACATCAACTCAATTTAATATCTCAACTTTGTGGGTCCATAACACCTGACGCTTGGCCAGGAGTGGAAAAGCTAGAGTTATACAAGAAGATGATGCTCGTACGCGGACAAAAACGCAAGGTTCAAATTTATCGTTACAGTTTTAGTTTTACTCCTAAGCACAAGCAATGATATACATTTCAAATGAAGTCTTATTTCAGCTCGAAGCCCGAATGAAATTTTACATCAGGGATTCATGTGCACGTGACTTGTTGGACAAACTGCTTATACCGGATCCCAGCCAAAGAATCAGTTCTCATGCGGCATTGGACCATAATTTCTTTTGGACTGAGCCCTTGCCTTGCGATTTGCGCAATATCTTGGCCCAACATACCCAAAGTATGTTTCAGTACTATGCTGTACCAAGGAGACGAGGACACGTGTGGGGTCAAGCTCATTCAAGTTCCACCTCGGCAGACACGGACTATGAAGATAGAGTTTTTTAATGATTTTATTATTTTGACAATTTTATGCAGCCGGGTAATTTTCTTTATCCCTGCTTCCCCAACATTTTTTGTCTTTTATTTTTTTAATGGAATAATTGTTCATTGATACTATATATGGTTTAATT